AAAAAAAAAAAAAAAAAAAAAAAAACACAAAAAAAACCCGCTTTCACATGTAGAAGTAATTCCATTGCTTTCTTATGTATTACTTTGACGTTAGTCACTAATTATACAGCTTTGTTTGACAGTGCAAGTCAAATCTCTCTATAGTATCAGCAGCACATGCTATGACTCTACCTTGGTTACCGCCACTAGCGATGCTCATTAGCTTTGGTACTTCGTCCTCACTACTCGACGATGAAGACTCGTCATCATCTGTAAGCAGGGAAAAGAGAAAAAGGGTTAGGACATTGGAATATATTAACAACAACAACAAAAATTCAATCCTCGAGAGAAAGGAGTTCTTTTGCTTTGACCCTCAAACTGGGAATTAGTGCAAGGTGGTCTACAGACGGAAGCGAAGTATGGCGACCAATTTGAATAACTATTGTTCTGCACTGACTAGAGACTGGCTATCCTCGTGTTCACGTAGAAACATAAAAGCGTTTTCACATGTATGAGAGGTTAGTTAGTCCAGAACAATGATTATTGAAATTGGTCGCCATTTTTCGACTAGGTGTAGAAGACTTCAAAATCTAGGACGAGGCTTAAAGCATTATTGTGAAACACTTGCAGCAGAAATGCATTAAGACATAAATACGAACCGTGGAGTGTAGACTGGTCTTGTAATGGTCCTGTTTGTGAGGTCATCGTATCAGCCTTGGGGTTGATTGCAGTGGGCTGTGTAGAGGAACTCACTGCTGCTGTTGTGGGGACTGGACCAATGGAATATGAATAAAGAGGGGAAAAAATGAATAATAGGCCTACTATTGCACATACAACAGAACAGGCAAGAAAGGTTAACATCGCAGTACACGGCAAGTTCACGGTGCGAATTCAAAGGGATCTGTTCGACCAATCAAACAGCAAGGTAGGCATGGCTTATCCAATCAAAATGCTAGGAAATCAAACCATCACGTTCACAACACTGTACTGTACCCTCGGCTTCCTGGCGCCGATTGGTTAGAATAAGCCTTTTCATAGTTTAAGAATCGATTCCACTGCGCATGCGATTTTATCCCGAATTTCTCACCTTCTTTTGTTTAATTAAGAACAAAAGAAGGTTTAGACAAAAGAAGGCGAGAAATTCCGGATAAAATCGCATGCGCAGTGGAATCGATTCTTAAACTATGAAAAGGCTTATACCTGTTTGAACGTCTGTATTTCCAACGGTGGGTCCTATTCCTCCTCCAATGCCTCCAGTTGGTACAGCTTTGGAAATACTGTGGCTGTAAAGCGCGTTCAAGATGGACCATGTCTTGGCGTGTTTGTGTAACGAAAGGCTACTGGCCACCTGATACGAATAAAAAGAAACCGAAAATAAATTCTTGATGGCTTTTCTGACTTTGACAAGGAAGATGATTGAGGCATAGCTTTGGTACAAGCGACACCATATAAGGCATTGCCGGGTTACATTTCGAGTGAAAGGACTGGAGAGACCGGACAACTGCTGACCAGACTGGATACATGTAGTTGTATGATACCATAGAGCTCGAGAAATGAAGTCCGATTTTGACCGAATGAACAAAAATCAATGGGAAATGTAGATATTTATGAAATAAAATTTTCCAAGATTGCTCGGTTTCGACCCAGTCCTTCCACGATATGAAACTAGGTGGAAAAAAAGGTGCACCCAAGTTTGACCACATTTCCCCATATTTAATATCTTAGATAAGGAATATGAATTTAGTAAAATCGAGCGACGGGTCTATTACAATCTTTCTTTTTTTCAAACTTTACAAGTTTACGAGTGTTAGTATTAATAGGACTCCATGCTGTCCGATTAAGAAATAATTGGACAAGGATAATTCCGAGGACTGACAACATTGGATGAGGCCGTAGGCCAAGTCCAATTTGGCAGTCAGAGGAATTTTTCGAGTCTAATTATTTCTTGATTGGGGAGCATGAAATCCCATTACCTATTAATTATATAGCTTCCTAATTAATCCCATATCAACAAGACCTGTCCAATTAAGAAAATAATTGGACAATTACCTATATGGGATTAATTAGAAGCTGTATAATAATTAAGAAAACCGTTCGATTAAGGTATAGGTTTTCATGTGGTTGCATGGCAATCCTGGGGCGCTTCCCAATTACTCGGAAAAATCGGAAATTCCGGTTGGAAAACAAGTGGTATGTGTCATTCCGATCGCACTTCCGGAAAACTCGGTTTCCGATTGAGGTAATCTATTTTTCCCGCTCTTTTTGGTTCTTCCGGTAAACGCGTGTACCATTTGTTTTTGGTTTAAATGGTAAGGATCCTCGGTCTATTTTAGTTTTTGGGTAAAAATGTAAATGATCTCTTAGCCATCGATTTTAGGTCCAGTGTATTTTAGAACAGACCTCTTTAGAGAAGTCCGCCCAAAAGGCTTGGACGCAGTACAAAAATTCCATGCACATTAAAGAGTGAAACCTCGAGCTTACATTATTGTTGTGTTCGCAGAGCTCGGAGAAGGAGCGTCCACTAAGTTTGTAACTCTTGGCTAATATCTTGAAACAGTCGTCCTTCTACACAAAGAGAACATAAAGAGTAAGGTAGGTGTTGAGTGATTTAATCAGGTGCTCGAGAGAACTCCACAATAGGCGAATAAAATAATGAGACCTCCATGCTTTCAAATTTCATGGAAATATTTGTAAAACTCTCTATCTGGAAACTATAAATCCCCTTCCCCATTACCAATAAATGTTGTTTCGGCTAACGATCGGTGGCACATGAACATTCGTCCATTCAACATTGCTAGAGGGAAGGGGGGTTGGAGGAGAAAAGCTTTGTTCTATTGGAATTGGGCTTCCTGGGTAGTCTAGGTCTCAAGGTATTTTTTTGCCGATTGTAGATACATGTACATGTATGGTTCACTCACCAGGGGCGTGTTGTTAGTACACACAAAGAGGCTGCTACTCGCTCGTGCCGTAAAATTATCTGAGATGTCGTGGAACTTCTTACGGAATTGTGATAAGCTGTTACCTGAGCTTGGGATGTGCAGTCCACGGCTGAACAATAAAATAACAAACGACTTAGCAAAGCAGACTAGAGCAAAATAGATCAGGACAGGGCAGGTACAAATTTTTTTACTCTACCATCCCCTCCCACCAGAAAAGCTAGTGTCAATAGACCGACCCACACAAGTGCTTACCTCATTTTAATCGAGTTAGTCTGAGTTGCAATATTAGTTATCTGGTCACACATAGCGTAACTGAGATCACCATTAACATTGAGTGAGATAGCGACTGGTGGAGCATCATCTACAGGGTGATTAGCATCGCTGAACACGTGCTGGTACAGGGTGCTGTCTTTAGAACAAGACAATAGGACAATCGGGTCCCGACCACGACCTGTCTGCCGCCACATTATCCCTGGTATAAGAAGAAGAAAATGAGTACTTCATATTTTTCTTAAAGTGAAAGAATAACGATTGCGCTTGGAATCAGATCGGCTACAGTTTTTCTCAATAGCACGCGCGGAATGGTATAATTTGTTTTCGCGCCAAAATAGGGTTTTGGTTGACGTCATGTCAATCAAAGTGTTTCCATGACATTGTCGTAAAACACAAAGCTTTCAAGGGCACGTGCCTATGGAATGTCTTAGGCCCTGGCTAAACGAGGAAACGTGTTTCCTTAAATGTTTCCTAAGGTGGCAAAACTGTCAGGAAACATCGGGAAACAATGTTTCCATGCGTCTTGGAAACATGAAATGTTTCTGCCGCACAGCAAAAACAATTTTTGCGTCTTGGAAGCAAAATTTGTTGCACGCAGCAATGTTTCGCATGTGGCTAAACTGGGAAACATCGAGGAAACATGCGCGTGGTAAACATGTTTCTGGAAGCATGTTTCCTCGTTTGATTGACGTTCATCAAAACAAAAGATGATTCTGACTGTGCTATTGAGTAGACTGATTCCATAATTCGGTGTTTTCGCTCTTCTATCGATTCCGGATATCGCTCACACGCTAGTTGAGCGACAACAACCCACAAAGGAGTGAAAACTACGACTTATGGAATCAGTCTAGCTATTGAGAAGCAATTGGACTTTTATTTAGGACTTGTCCGAGTGGTGTGACTAGCTATTATAGGTGAATATTGTACCTGTAGGAGTATCTTTGTGTTCATTAAACGTTGCGTAGGGAATGTACGGACGTCGCATATCCCATATGTGAATGTCGAAGTCTACCAATAGAGAAACACTGTGGGGAGAAAGAGAAAGATAGATAAATGTAAATATATCGAAGTCTACCAACAGAGAAGCAATGTGGGGAGAAAGAGAAAGACAGACATATGTGAATATCGAAGTCTACCAATAAAGAAACACCTGACTGTGGCGAAGAAAGAGAAAGAAACACCGTAAAAAGCCACAGTTTGCATAAATGCTGGTTCATGACGTGGATGTGCCGTGATTTGACTTTGCAGTGCCGAAGCAGTTGGATTTCATTTAATAACTGATTTTTAATAACTTTCCCGTGAGGGCTGGGATACCTCAAGCAAGAGCTTTACTCAATTACTGTCGTGCCCTGTAGTGACTATAAGCACAGGCACTGAAGATGGTCATCACCAGTGTCTTCAAGTCCTTAAATCCAAGACTGAAACTTGAAGGTTTAACCATTTGCAGGTGTAATTACAAAGACAGAACCTTCTTTTAAGAGCCTGAGTGTTGGTCCGGTCAAGGCTTCAACCACGACCTCCCGCACATCAGACCAACGCTTTTACCAACTGAAACAACCAGGCAGCAGTTGACCTTCAATGACCTTCACACAATCTTGTAAATGTTGTTGGCTCAAAGATTGCTGAAAAAGGCAGTTCAAACGCGCCTTTTTATGATCTAGAATTCTAGGAAACCCGATTCTTGAGAGACTTAAAGGTGCTGACACCCGATGCAACATTGCATGCAACATTGCACGCAACAGGACTGTTTGCTCATGTGTCTACCCCAAACTTGACGCTGCGTGCAACAAATCTGAAGTTTAATCGAGCTCTACTCTTGCAACATTGCGCGCAACAAATTTCATTATGTGAACATGGCTGCAACATTACCTGCAACATTTTGAAATTTCCAGCCAATCAGCTTGCACCAAGTTTATAACTGCTGACCAAATATCTTAACATAGCAGGCTGACACAAGCGATGTTGCATGATTTTGTTGCAATGTGTGTCACCCCGATTCAAATTTGTTGCTTGCAATGTTGCGCCGTGTGTCAGCACCTTAATATACGGTCACAATACAGACTTCTCAACCAGTCAGCAAATAATGAATTTCCATTTGAACTTACTTTTGAACGTTGTCTCCTTCCTTCTTCCTTTCTTTTCTCTATCATCATTCCCTTATGTACCCTTATTCTGGCTATTAAATTTGAAGTCTCTTACCTTGCTATCTGGTACTTTCTTTGAGGTCTCCATTTAATACGACCAACAGACGTTATGGCCTGTATTCCATGTAATCCATCATTGAATAAAGAACTTGCCTTGCACTGGACATCCCAAACCTGATTGTAAGCAGAATGTAGGAACATAGGACAACTATAATGTTATGTTAGCATCATGGGTGTGACAGTGTGTATGTTGGATTGGATGAAAACATCCATGTTACCTAGCAATTGGCTGACTCTAAGATAAATATACATAATGATTGTAAATACTTGGGAGATGGGTTTATTGTGGGTTAGTGTGGATGGTAGGAGCATCTAGTAAGGTCCGTAGCCTATGAAGATATAGAGGCTTTGCACCATCAAGTGATAGCAGCCATGACAGGAGGCAGGAACAATTCAATCTAGTCTAACCTTATTTACATTTAAAGATCTAGTTTCCCAGGGGGGAAAAGACTGTCATGGTTGCCATCATGTGAAGGCTTGACAGACAGACCAGACAAAATACATTGATTGACAGCTATTTTTCCTTTACCTTGACGAACTTGTCTCTCCCACCAGTAGCTATCCAATTCCTTTCTTCAGGATGCCAGTCAATAGTAAATATTGGACCATTATGAGCCATGAACTGATGGTAGTGCATATCTGTCCGACGCATATCCCACATCTGAGATTGAAGGATTTTAAAAACAAGGTTTAAGCCATATTACACTGACCCACTTTCATAATTATGTGACCAGCAAAGCCCAAAACATCTGGGATTTTGGCTGCAAATCAAAAATTTAATTGTTGTTTGATTTGATTTGAAAACTCAGAATGTTTAAAATTCTATTGATGGAATCCAAAAACCAAAATGACTTATTAGAATTATGAATTATAGCTTTTTGTCTGGGTCACATAATTTAAAAACAAATATTATAAATACAAAATTACATAACTGTAAAGTTTACCTGGACGTTACCAGTTTCACAAGCTGCTGTAAATAGCTTTCCATCAAAAGGGCTGAACTAAAAAACATGGGGTTTACATATCATTTACATATAAGTGTTCATTCAATGATACTCCACTGTACCATGTATATACTAGATAGGGGAATCAAGGGTGGCATAGTGGAACTGTTGTGCATTTGCCTTAAACCTCTAATGTTTTGGGATCAATGCTTGGACTTAGTCATCATCACATTTGTGTGTATTGAGTTTGTTTGGTCTTTCTCTTAATTTGTGGGGTTTTCTTCAGATCCTCTGGTTTTTCTCCCTCCCAAAAACCTGACAAGCTAAATTTCAGTTCAATCAGTGGCATTCATCCATGTCCTGACTTTGATCAGCCCAGAGGTTGCTTTTAGGGTTAGATCTGTGAGTTAGCCAAGCACTGCAGGGGCGCATCCAGGAATTTGTTCAGGGAGGGGTGCAACACACAAATTAACCCAGGGAGGGGTGCACCCCATAGAATCAAAGGAAAAAAACATTATTTTGTGTTGGTTATATTCGAATTTAGGGCAAAAAGTTGAACCAGGGAGGGGTGCGCACCCCCTGCACCCCTCCCCTGGATCCGCCACTGCACTGACTTAAGATAGCCCAGAGGTCATTTCAGGGTTCCATATTTGACTTAGCCATGCCCTGACTTAGGTGTTTGATCTGTGACTATTGATCTGTCCAGAGGTTGCTTCAGGGCAATGATAACATTAAAATTTGAAGGTTTAATTCATGGCTTACCTCTACATCCCTTATGATATCTGAATTTTTTGAACCGCAAGTAAAAGCAACACTCTGCTTTCTCAAATCCTATGGAATATAAAATGAACACAAAATATGCCTATGTTGAAACTTCTTAATATATAATGAGCCAGAACATCTTTGTTAAGAGAGGAGAGCTTTGGTTCTTCTGGTAGACACAAGTTCCATTTGTCAAAAGTCAAAGTTTGCTGCTCTTTTCTTACCACTGGCAAACAAATTTCCAGTCAAAAAATAGATTCACTAAAAAATAGTTTTTACACATCTGTTAAGTAACTTACAAAGCATTTCATGTTTCCATCTTGACCTGCACTCAGAAGTAGATTTGTTTCTACTGGATGAAACTTTATACGATTTACAGTTCTTTTATGTTCAGAAAATACAAGTTCTGTGAATAAGAAAAAGACAGTATAAATAATCAGCTAGAATAAAATTTAATTGCAAAATAAAATTAGAGTATCAAGAGTGACTGGAAATGTCAAGTACAAGAGCTTAGAGAACAATCAACAGGATAAATGAAATTGTTGTGCCTGTTGTAGTCCAGAACTGGACTACATTTATTTCTGCTCTGAATCCACAATTACAATCATTACAATCATATGGAATTCCGCACTAGGATTTGCTCAAAAAACAAACAAAAAAACAACCTGGCCTTTTTCGCACAGCAGCCATGTTGGTTTGAACAATAAATTCCAGCATGCCTGGTCCCACATTGAAGGCCTTGAGAATATAACTTTATGAGGATGACACACTTAAAGGTTTTTATTCTCAGGAGAATAAACATAGCTGCCATGTGATAAAGGATCATTGTGAAAACTGGGTCCAGATCTGGACTATGCCTGTTGTTGATGCTGATGAAGAAAATTAAACTTATACAGCTAGTATTTTTGGGGAGCTAAATCTGGGGTGCCTAGGGCGCTTGCAATCCTCATTCTTATTGGTACAGTAGCTCAATTGCCAATTTTTTTTGGAAGTCCAAGGAAGTAATTAGAAGTTGATTTGTTGATATTAATGAAGATTGACCATCAAGTATGGGGAATCATGGAAAGCCTAATAGATGACTTTTTTAGGATGTAATATATATACTTTCTACTTATTGACTAAGTGGGAGGGCCATAAGGGAAAATATTTGACTCGAGGTGATGCCCTACAGACCGAGCGCAGCGAGGCCCATACAAATGACCGAGAGCCAAATATTTTCCCGTACGGCCTGACCTAACTCAGTCAATGAGCATTTTATCATATGACCATCACAAAAAGAAAAAGAATCAAATAATAGAAAGTCGCAGGTTTCGAGCAGGACCGTATGGATTCGTTCGGCCCTGCTCACGCCATTTTTCCAAAGGTTTTTTAAGATGGCGCGCCCGGGCAGTTACAGGTCATATGATAAATGAAATTATTTTTTAAAAATGCTTCAGTGCTGGGTATTCTTGAGGGGATTTTTGCTGTATATACCTTGTTTTTGTTTAGTTATCTTATTGAGATTCCATATCACAACTGCTCCATTTCCTGCTGCTGTAGCTAAAATATGATCTGATGAACAAAAATGAATAATATTGAATATATTAATAAATGCATTAAAGGAACAAGTTAAAAAACCTTAAAAAACCATCAATCCCATGTCATCACGACCATAAAATGACTGCTTAAGAGGCTGTCTCTGTAAGAACCTCATAACCATTTTGGGTGAAAAAATAGATTTCTTTCAAACTTTGTGTGTGAGTGTGCCCTTCCAAGGTTATTTCCAAAACACATTTTGTTTTGTGTCTCGGCGCTTTTTAGCAAAGTTTCGGGGGGGGGTCCCCTTGGGGGCCAAATTAGTGATTTTGACTACTTCTCATTCATGAAATTTGGGCGATGTTTAAAAATTCCTAAATCCATAACAAATCATCACAACACTAAATCCTTCCATATTATAGTAGATATATATCTTATGCAAAGATGAGTAGCCTTAAAGTTAAATATGAACTTATTTATATCTAGATATTTTAATTTTACTGACCATCGATAATCGACTTTGGCCAGTTGGCTAAAATATGGCTTAGGAAAAAAAATCAAAACTCAAAAGTTAGACTTCGTAGGACCATAATATTTGAGTACTGCAGAGATAAAAGGTAGTTCTTACAGAAATTAAAATAACATTTTGCGGCCAGCAAGTTTTGAGAAGTGAACAGGTCGACAAACTTTCAGTATTTTTGAGATTTAATGTGTTACGTCAAAAAGGTGCAAATAGTTTTGAATGCGATTTATCTTTAAATGTTTATAAATTCACTGTTTAAAGTGGCCTAATATATTTTTAAAACATTTTAACCGCACAAATTGTAAAAAAACGGTTTTAGAAAACAGTACTGGAATCGAAAGACTGATATCACAACATGCCTTAACTGTAAGGTAAAATGCTGTATACTGTCATAAAATACAATGATAAGTTCACTCGAAATAGATAATTGTAAATTATTTGCACGATGCACAAACATCAATCGATGAACAAATCACAAGATTATTTGTTCATATTTTGCCTACAACCAAAAAGAAATCCAAATAATCCAGATAAACATGCCTTTGAAAACGAGTCCTCATCTGCAGTTCGATACAACTGTCATTTTGATACATTCAGGCCCAGAAGTATCCACTTTTAGTCTTCAATTTCGTCCTCAGAGAAGTCTTTGAATATAGTAACATACTAAAACATTATTCTTGTAACTTTATCGAGGATAATAGTTTAAAAAAACTGCCTCGTTATTTTCCTGAGTTCATCTTGTAGTTACTCTTTTCTAGTAATCTAGTAGTGAAAGCCGCTGACCAGCAAAATAGATTCAGCTGTCACACGTGGACCACAGGAAGCCCATTCCTTGTTTATTTATTTTTATCTCGAAGCCAGAACTGCCCAATACCATGTCTATGTTTTGGACAGATCCACCAACCAGTGACATTATTGTCATTAACTTAAAATTTTCCTGACCTGGCCAAGATAAGTTAATACTCTGTCAAGTCTTCTCGTGAAAGATGGTACTTTATAAAATAACTGTTATGAATGTCGCGTTCTGATTGGTTTGGAGCGCGTGCTCCTAACACTTCTCTCGTGTTCTGCCAACCCCCGCGTGCTTTATGACAGCACACAGCACGCGCGCACGTTTTCTATTCCTTCATTAGAATATGACCTTGAATATCATCTGTACATTCCCGTAGTTTTACAAAATTTACCTTCCCTCTAAACTCTCCACAATTTTTATCAGCATAAAAACAAACGCTCGCCATATTAAAACTTTTACTATTTTATAGAGCACAGGTCACACGTGGACCACAGGAAGCCCATTCTTTGTTTATTTATTTATATCTCGAAGCCAGAACTGCCCAATACTGTATTTATGTTTTGGACAGATCATCATTATTATTAACATCATTATTATTAACTTAAAATTTTCCTGACCTGGCCAAGATAAGTTGACACTACTACTCTTCCTGGTAGACCGAGGCAGTTGTGATTTTTTAATCGCCTTCATAGCGTCTGTTATGTTATCCAGAAGTTAAATTTCAAATCCACCACGTGATGCCAATGCTGTACCACGTGGACAAGTTTTTTACACCACGTGATCAAAATTAAGTCAAGTTTCAATCACATGGTGTAAAAACTTGTCCTCGTGGTACAACATTGGCATCACGTGGTCGATTTGAAATGTACTTGCGGATAACATAACCGGCACTACGAAGGCGATTAAAAAATCACAACTACCTCGGCCTACTGGGAAGAGTAGTATGTCAAGTCTTCTCGTGAAAGATGGTACTTTATAAAATAACTGTTATGAATGTCGCGTTCTGATTGGTTTGGAGCGCGTGCTTTATGAGAGCATATTGCACGCGCGCGCACTTTCCGTTGCGTCATTCCTGTCTATTATTGTAATTTGTTTTTTATAAAAGAAATAAAAAACTTGCTTGTTGTGCTGTTTGCAGTCAAAAAAGCACTAGGTGATTGGCAGAACACGAGAGAAGTATCCAGAAGCACTCCGCTTCGCGTCGTGCTTCTCCTAAYACTTCTCTCGTGTTCCGCCAACCCCCGCGTGCTTTATGACAGCACACAGCACGCGCGCACGTTTTCTATTTCTTCATTAGAATATGACCTTGAGTATCATCTGTCCATTCCAGTAGTTTTACAAGATTTACCTTCCCTCTAGACTCTCCAAAATTTTT